TCCCCCCTACCCTACCCTGTCCTGTCCTGATCATGTGTGGACCGTACCAGTCACGTATAAACACGTCATCACAGGTTTTTGTGTATTGAGGAACTCGACATTCCGCTGTTGTTTTTTTCTCATTTCACGGTTTTGTCAGGATGTTTTTCCGGGGGATACTTCGGGATTGGCTGCAGTCGGTGGCAATTATTTTGTGAGATGGGGAATGGAGGATTTTAGCGAATTCCAACACGTATCGACGGGTGCGTGGGGGCATTATGCAATTTTGCTTTTCATTTTTGCCTCCGAATGGAAGCTTTGTAATCGGGATTTTTTTGGTGGTGATATTTCAGTTGCGAAACGATAAACCGAGTTAAGTTGATTTTGACTTTTGCTCAGTTTTCGATGAATATCCCGGAATCTAAAAGAGAGCAAAATTTTTCTCATGATCTTTTTTATAATCCTTAATTCAGTAGCGAAGTGGTAAAAGGAGATAAATCAGTTTTGACTATTGACCAGTTTTCAATCAATATCTCGGAATCTAAGGGAGATAGCAAAATTTTTGGTATAACCTTTTTTGCAGAGCCGATTGAGAGCTACAACAAATGTAATCACGAAAATTTCGCTATCTCCCTTAGATTCGGAAATATTCCTCAAAAACTCAACTGGGAGATGAGTCGACTTGGACCGTTTTACCACTTCGCTACTGAATTGGTCCTACACAAAAAGGTCATGATGAAAAATTTTCTATCTCTTTTAGATTCCGAGATATTTATCAAAAAGTCCAATAGTCAAAATCGACTTAATCCGGTTTACCGTTTCGCTACTGATTTATTTTTACATATAGAGACAAAAAGATTTAGTTTCAAGAGAGTTATTACACCTTTTCTATCACACTGAGTCGAAAATCTCTTGGAATAAGCGACTTTTTCTCTGTGATCGATAGAAAAACATTCCCAAAATCCAGTGAAATTCTCTGAAAATGAGTGATAAATGAGTATTTATTGAAATTCAAAAATTTAATTCAAAAATTTAACCTTCACTTGCACCAAATGCTAACATTTTTTGATCGAGAAATTTCCATGAGTCATTCAACGTGATGGCTACTTGTTCGTCGATGCACCTGTTCAATACTCAAGCGGAAGAAATTCGCTCTCCAATCAAATTTTGTAATACAATGACGATGGTATAGCGACCTTGTGACTCTGAGCGGAATGTTTTTCAATTTAGTTCTCATTATGACAGATATTCTCATTCTGAAACGGCACGTATTCCGCGAGAAAGATAAGCTTCCCGAGCCAAATTCTTTGTTGTTGAAAACAGAGCCAAAATATTCATGTTCATTCTGCGCCTTACAAATCGTGAACGCAAGACAAACAAAATGTTTTTTTTATCGTTTTTTCATATCGCTTCCCGGTTATATCGCTACCCGCTTAGGATATACTGCGATGATGATCAAGACTTTAAGGGTGCCAAGTGAATTTGAAAAAAGATTCAAAAAAATTTTTTTCTTTCCCTCCATCATTGGAGAAATATGTATGCATCCATCCGACGAAATTTCAAACCCGCAACCGGAACTAGACATCGAGAAAATAAATGCGGAAAATCCTCTATTTCGCGTGACGAATCTCGAGAAAGCATGGGATCAAATGGGTACGGCAGGTTGAAATATCTCTCTTATTCACCCCGGTACTTTTAATTGCCGACATTTCTGTGAAGTATTAAGATATTACTATAATTTATGCATTTTTATTGTTTTCTTAACCATCCGAAACCCCAGTCAAGGGATTTTTAATCCCATTTTACTATTATAACGGAGATATCAACATTTTAAAATTGTGAGTTTCACAACTTGCGGCATAAGAATTCACTCTGTCCTAGCACCAGTTGATGTGAATGGGATTTTTCTCTCTTATTCTTCAATAAATCACTGTTTATTGGTGTCTATAACTTTCGTTATTAACCAAAATAATAACTCCAATCGTATTTCACTCTTGATAGACTTTTGGGACTGTCAAAATGGGACGAGCATAGGTACATTTGAAATCGCAAAATAAGGGATTATTTTCTGGGTGAATTGGGATTGTCAGGTGGGGACATTTACTCGTACACACAGGGACAAAAAGATTTAGTTCCAAGAGAATTATCACTTATTTTCAGTCACAATGAGTTGAAAATCTATTGAATGATAAGCGATTTTTTTCTCTGTGATGTAGAGAGAAAAAATCTAAAATCCACTGGAAAATTACAGAAAATTCACTGAAATTACTGAAATTTACCTCTCCTTTCGTACAGTAAAATTAGCCACGATTTTCTACGCAATTTTTATCTAACTTTTCTCTCCGCGTATTGACGTCAGTTGTTCAATATTTTTAGAACTACCACTGAAATTTGAGGTGTAATTTTCGATCTGATGTATATGGATGACGTCCTAGAATATTAAGTAACGAACGTGGTGATCGAAAATGCACTGTAATTCAAGGTGTTTCCGTATTTCTCTGGGGGAATTCGTGAATCCCTGATTCATATCAATTTTTATGGAATGATTAATCTGAAATTTTTCATTTTCATTGATTTTTCTTTTAATTGTGAATTTTCAATGAGGAAATTCCTCGAAAATTTGCTCGAACTGTCCCGTGAAGAGAAATCCCAAGAATTGAAACGGATGCACCGAGAGAACACATTACTTTTGACAAAGACGATTTCGTTGAGGCAAGAAAATATTCTCTTCTCCATTTTTAGAATCGTGAAATCTCGTGGTGAATAATTATGTGCTTACACTGAGGGAAAGAAGTCTTTCAACAGGATGAGAGATTCTCTTTTCCCGAGAAAATTTTCAAGTGTCAGCATGTCTTCCAATAAATTCATACAGTTTGCGTTATATCTAGAATTTAATGGATTGTGAGAATCCACACTTTCCCGATCTAATCACTCATCATCTCCAATTCAGATTTGACGATTTTTAAAATTCAATAGCGAAGTGGTAAAACGGTATAAGTCAATTTTGACTATTGACCAATTTTTAATGAATATCTCGGAATTCAAGGGAGATAGCAACATTTTTGTTATAACCTTTTTTGTAGAGCCGATTGAGAGCTACAACAAATGTAATTACGAAAATTTCGCTATCTCCCTTAGATTCGGAAATATTCCTCAAAAACTCAACTGGGAGATGAGTCGACTTGAACCGTTTTACCACTTCGCTACTGAATTGACAAGAGAATATTTTCTCGTGTCAAGCAAACCTTCTTTGTCAAAAAGAGTTTTTTCTCTTCATGTACTGTTGCTTCTGAGCAGCAGGAAGACTATACTGTTAAAAAAATTTAGCTGAAACTTCCAGTACACTCTTCGGAAATTTTTATGAGACGCAAATGCCACTGAAATTTCAACGAATTTCGTCATTGAAAATTCTGAATTTCGGAGAAAAATCAATGAGAACTGCAAATTTTAATTCAATTATTCTCTGAAAATCAATAGAACACCGGAAAATTCCTATAAATATATTCTTGAATTTTCAATTATTTGAAAATTCAGGGTAATTTGGTACTCAATATTGATGTTTTCATTGAAAATTCAAATAACTCGAAGAATTCTCGTCTTCACGTTTCTCAAAACTATAGAATTCTATTGAAATTTCAACGAAATCTGAAATTTCATGATTTTTTTTTCATCTTTAAATTACATTCTCTGAAAATTAATAGAAAACCGGAAAATTTCTATAAATATATTCATGAATTTTCAATTATTTGACAATTCACGGTAATTTGCTACTGAATATTGATGTTTCCATTGAAAATTCAAATAACTCGAAGAATTCTCGTCTTCACGTTTCTCAAAACTATAGAATTCTATTGAAATTTCAACGAAATCTGAAATTTCATGATTTTTTTTTCATCTTTAAATTACATTCTCTGAAAATTAATAGAAAACCGGAAAATTTCTATAAATATATTCATGAATTTTCAATTATTTGACAATTCACGGTAATTTGCTACTGAATATTGATGTTTCCATTGAAAATTCAAATAACTCGAAGAATTCTCGTCTTCATGTTTGT